AGGGCCAATGGGTTCCAGTTCGACCATTGGACGATCTGGATACCAGATCGACATGGTGAGACCTGCCAACTCGTTGTAGACCCGATTGCGATCGACTTTGAACTTCTTGGTGAACATCAGATCATTCGGAGCCAAATACGTAAACCAGCCAGCAGAGGTGTCCATGCCGAGTTTGGGGAATTGCGGGGCTCCGGTGATTTCTAGGAATCCGTCACGTATTTTGATTTGATCATCAACCGGTCGCATCTGAATCAGGTTTCGCCCTTCGTACATCACATAAGAATTGGGGTACTTGGAGATCCCTTTCAAAGGGATGAGGACAATACCGTTCCCGACTGCGAATGTTCGGCTCCAGTGGCACCATTCCTTCTTCTGGTTTGATCGATTGTGAATCGTTTGCGTCACGGTGAATTCGGAAGAATCGACAGACAGTTTGAAATCTCGCGTGAGTTGAACTCCAGGCCCGGGATCGACCTCGCTGATCAGTCTGGCTGAATAGGGACCCGTGATTTCTGCTTTCCACTCTCCTGACCAAAGTTTGGGTCGTTTGGGAATGACCTGTTCGGGGCCGATGTCGAAACGTCCGCCTGTCATCCCTTTGCCAGATGGCCCTTGGGCACCTTTCGCATTGGGATCGAGATAGATCACGTTTTTCCCATGCAGCGAGTATTCCAGAACTCGACCGCCCGCCTGATGGCATAACACAATCCGAATAGTTTCATTTTCCAGTTTAATGCAGTCTTTGTAGCCGAAAAAATCGACTCTGCCTGTGCCTACATAATATTCTTCTGCATGAAGGGCAGGGTACGATCCACAAAGAATCAAGGCCGTCGAGAGCTGAAGGAATCGAAACATCAATTGTTCCTAATTTGTGAATGTAATGCTTAACTTCGTGAACGAGCTGCCTCTTCATCGCTGTATTTCGGCTTGGCACTCTCTGGACGATTGGGGAAGGTGTCGCCGGTTTCTTTGGCTTGCCGCTGTATTTCGGCCAGTAGTTCTTTTCTAACTGGACGATGTTGTTTTGAATCGATGAGATTTTTCATTTCGAAGGGGTCGTTCTGTAAGTCATAGAGTCCTTCGACCTTGTTCCAGTTTCCGCGGACGGACAACTTGTAGCGGTCGGTGACCAGGGTACGCCAGCTTTGCCCAGCAGAGGTCAGTTTTCCTTCGCAGTAGATTGATTCCGGTTCGGAGTCCATTTTGCCGGTTGTCGCTGCCTGAGAGAGATCACGACCGGTGCAAGTACCAGGGTCCGGTAAATCGCATAAGGAAAGCAGAGTTGGCATCAGATCGATCGAGTTGATCAACGTTGAGGATTTGACTCCAGCGGGGATTGTTCCCGGGAGTCGCATGATCAGCGGCACATGCAGCGACTCTTCCTCAGGTTCTCCTTTGCGGTACTTACCATGAGACCCACAAAGTTCACCGTGATCAGAGGAGAATACGACGAGCGTGTTTTCTTCCAGCCCAGTCCGTTTGAGAAATTCCATCAGCCGTCCCATCTCATGGTCGAGAGATTCACACAAGCCATAGTAGCCAGCCAGTTGCTTCGCGGCGCGGTCTCGATGTTCTTCTGGAACATTGGGCCGATGAATGATCTCTTCGGCTTGATACCGTTCAAATTTCTTGGGTGGATTAAAAGGTGTGTGAGGCGGTCCCCACGAGAGATAGCAACAGAATGGATCGTCCCGATGTTCATCCATGAACCGCATTGCCAGATCGGTCTGCAAAATCGGCTCGTAGTAGGGATTCGGGAGTTGATCTGTGGATGTGTGAAGCGGTTCGCCTTCGTTATCGAAGCCCCACTGCTTGTGGTAAACGTGACCGCGGTTGAAGCCTTCAAAGGTTTCTAGACCTCTGCGTCTCCAGCCCGGAGGAACGAAGCCGGGCTTGGCGGGACCATCCATATGCCATTTGCCGACATAATGCGTTGCGTAGCCTGCATTAGCGAACATTTCTGGCCAACAGATTTCAGATGGTGGCAGCATCAGATTATTGGTGAGCATGCCATGTTGATGGGAATGGCGTCCCGTGAGCAGGCAGGAACGGTTGGGAGTACAGACAGGATTGGCTGCAAAGGCCCGCTCGAAGTTGACTCCTTCTGCTGCCAGTCGGTCAATGTGGGGCGTTCGAACGACTTCATCTGTGGAGTGTCCGAAGGAACTGAATCGCCATTGATCGGTTAGAACAAACAGTAAGTTAGGTCGTTCGGGCGCTTCTTTTGCCTCTAATAGACTTGAAGTCAGCGGAGCGGCACCGGCAGCGAGTGAGGTCGTCTTGAGGAAATTTCGTCGAGATTGCCGTTCCATTTCAATTTCTCCACTGTTGATGTTCGACTCTGATCCCCGTTTGTAATCGAGTCGTGACCCATCAGACAAGCGGACGATGATATGATTCTGCTTTCGCTGTTGTCATCAGGGGCTTGGCTGCCGATAATTAGATAGTGTCGATTGATAAGCCAACAAACAAGCAGTGCAAACTTGCTATGTCAAACTAGGAACGTTGTGGAAACACCAACTGCCGGAACAGTTCGTAGCTCGCTGATGAAACGCTCAAGCAGTGTTTCTTCAAGTCTCGCTCCGTCCACGCAGCCGAAACGCTCGGAAGTGATGGCAGAGATCGTTCAGGAGAAGTCGCTGTGGCAGGTCATCTGTGATCAGTTTAATGGGAACGAAGGGGCCGGCCTTGCCATTTCTTTCGTTGTGCATCTGATTCTGCTCATGGTCCTGGCTGTGCCCGTTTTGGATTCTTTCGAGAATGAAGAAGGATTCACGACGCTAGTGGACAATGCGACGGATGAGCAAGTCATCTTTGATGCCCCGCTCGATACACTCGTTGCGATGCCAGAAACCACCAGTGCTCAGGAGGCCCTGGAAGCCAAAATCTTTGATCCGACCAGCTCATATCAGGAATATATCCCGGACCTGAAGGTTGATCAGCAGACTGCTCTCGCAGGAGAAGGAGACGGAACAGGCAACGATGGCGAACTCGGAGGCGGTCGCGTCGCTGAACCTGAAAACGCTGTCCGAGCCGGGAATTTCTCAGTTTGGAACTGGCCGATCTTTCGCGGCAGAATCGCAGGTCAACCACGCTTCGGTACGCCTGGTGAATCACCCAAAATTTATCAAAGTTATTTCATTGTGATTCGAATCAAAGCACCGAAAGAGAAAAAATTCGTACGCCTCTCCGACTTTAGTGGCAGCGTTGTCGGGACAGATGGGTACCGTCAAAAGATACCTGAGGATGCCTATTTCTTCAGAGCGAATGGTGATCTGATGAAGGCTCGCTCGAATATGCGGATGCCAGTCATTGATGGGACAGCTGAGCTACTGATTAAAGTACCGGGAGCATCGTACGCCGAGGTGAAAGACACGATCCGCGTCTATTCCCGAATTATCGATGAAGAACAGGAAATCGAACTGGTCTTTCAATCATCCGAATAATTTTCCGGCACCGTGTGTGAACAATTCTAGAGCGTTTCTTTTGACATTGCAGCCATGTTGCGTTTCATTGTATTAATCACTCTTCCAGGTTCTTTGTCTTTATCCCAGTAACCGTAGGGTGGGTGGAGTTCGGTCGTTCCATGTGAACTGTGGGTTACGCAATAATTTGTCAACCAAAATCAACCGTTCCTCATAAGGAAAGCAGAGAACATTACCCACCATTTCACCAACGGATTGCTTCATCCACCCTACATTTGTCTTGATTCAGTAGTGCTAATTCATTCTATCCTTGATTCAATTGAAATCGTTCTATTCTCTTCAGCTGACCGTAAGCCTTTCAGCATGATTTCTGTGACGTGTCGGGCGAAGGCTGCATTGCTGATTTCGGGCTGAAGACCTTGCATGGCGCAGGAGACCCACTCCTGGTGGGCATTCATGTTCGGGTAAGCTTTCAGGTCTATTTCCTCTTCGATGAGGGGAGCATCTTCGTCGGTCAGCGAACTTGGTCGGGCATGGATGAGGTCTCCTGTTAAGCTGGGGTTGGTGACCTTGCCTTCCGTGCCATGGATCGAAAAACCGTAGGTCCGGGCACCATCGCACCAGCCGGTTTCAGCGGTGCCCAAGACTCCACTTTCGAATTCCAGAATGAGTGTCGCTGTATCTTCGAGTTGCGTTGGCTTGGCGATTGTTGTCATGCGGCAGGTGACAGCGACCACAGAACCTAAGATCGCGACCAAATGTGCAATCGAGTAAACACCCATATCGAACAGTGCCCCGACGTCCGCCTGCTCGGCATCGAAGAACCAGAGTTCGTTCTGGGGAGTCTCGTTCAGAATCGTTTGAATCGTTGCGTAATAGACTTCCGGCCCACCGTGGCTGAAGCGAGCTGTCGCTGACGATACCGTTCCCAATTGGCCTGCCTGCACCATTTGTCTGGCTGCCAGTACGTGAGGCTTGGAAACATGGGGAAGAGCCAAAACTGTGCGATCAGTTGCGGCAACAGCACTTACAAATTGTTCTGCTTCTTCGAGAGAGGTACTGAGCGGCTTCTGCATGAACACATGTTTGCCAGCCGCCAGGGCTTTTAAGCCATATTCAACATGCAAGGGGTGCGGTAACGCTATCACGACACCATCCAGCTCCGAGTTTTCAATGACCTCATCGTAAGAGTGTGTCCACTCAGAGGCGTTGAATTTCTGAGCGAGCGTTTGCAGCCGAGAACGGCTTCGCCCGGAAAGCATCGCAATCTCAACGTTTTCAATGGCTGCCAACTCCGGCAAATGCAGTTTGGCAGCGATTCCACCCGCTCCGATGATTCCAACGCGAAAGATTTCCATGAGTGAACCTCAGATGCTGGGCGTTAAACTTGTTCTATTTTTTCTATTCTTCCAACTTCGCTCTCTGTCCCTTCATTGACACTTTCGAATGAAGAGAATCTTAATCTACGGACGATAACGATTCGGGGGGACATTCGCATTAACGTGATCATTCTATCACGCGCGGTGGCAGCAACCCAAATTGGTATGCCTTTCCATCAAAACCGCAGCGACACCAATGTTGATTCTGAAATCAGCAGAGATTGATCGAAATCAAAATGAACGTCGAGGACTCAAGGCTCTTGACTTCGTCGGAAGATTACGTGGTCATTTCAAACTCTTCGCTTTGATTATTTGTCTCTGCCATGGTGACAACATCTTCGCCTTCGATGCGATTTTCTCGAACTCGCCTAAGTTCAAGATTCCGTTTCAGTTCGATGAAAACGAATTGAAGAAGATCGGTGCGAAGGAAATCGAGCTTTATACGTCCGACAATCAGGGAGCCAGCTGGCGCTTGCACGAAGCTGTCTCACCTCAAGAGAGTGGTTTCATCTACGAAGCTGTCAGCGATGGGGAGCACTGGTTCTCGGTCAGGACCAAGACCGAAAGTGGTCTGACTTACCCGGCTGGACCTCATCAAGCTGGTTTGAAAGTGATCGTTGACACCGTTCAACCGGAGCTGGAACTGGATGTTTCCGAGATCGAGTCTGGGAAGATCAAACTTTCCTGGAACGTCATCGAGAAAAATCCTCAGATTGAATCATTGCATCTAGAAGTTCATCGTCCTCAGCAGGGCCGATGGGAAGCGGTTGAATTTGAGAAAACCGTTCGAGGAGAGACTCTCTGGAATGTTTCTCGGGCTGGACTCGTTGAAGTTCGCGGCTCAGTCCGGGATGCAGCTGGCAATCAGGCAGAGATTGCCACTCAAACCATTGTGGCTGGCAATTTGTCTGAAGAAGCCCCTCAGCAAAGTCGGTCCAGGCCAATTGCTTCAAATGCAGAGCAGAGTGCAACGATGCTTTCGAATCAGCCAGTTGAGTTGGAAGTCAATGAATCCAAGCCCAAGTCGATATTAACGAGCAAGCCCTCTGGAACAGCTGATCTCGTCTTGCCTCAGCATCTGAAAGAGGTGACTCCGGATCGGAGCCGCATCGACCATCAGTCAGTCATGCCACAGTTGGAAGAGAAAATCAGTGGTGTGACGCCGCCTGAGCGGGAAACTCCTCAGGTTGCGACTCTGCGACAACTCACGCCACCAGATGTTCCAGTGAAAGAGTTCTTTCCCGAAAAGAAGCCATTGGTTCTGGTTCCCAACTCAAAGCCTGGTTTGAAACAGCTGAAGCCAGTCGAACCACTACAGAATATGGAAAGTCTGCTGGAGCAGCCGAAACCAACGAAGGTTCGAAAAAACCACCTTGTGAACTCGACGACGTTTCGCATTGCCTATGAAATCGAAGACGTCGGACCTTCGGGAGTGTCGAAAATTGAACTTTTCATCACCGAAGATCAGGGGAAAACCTGGTTTCATTACGGGAGCGATTCGGACAATGTCTCCCCCATGGTCGTCTCTGTTCCTAAAGACGGTGACTATGGGTTCTCCTTCCGCATTCGAAACGGTGTTGGCCTGATTGCCACACCTCCACAACCGAATGATCAACCAGAAATCCTGGTGACAGTTGATCAAACGGCTCCACAGGCCGAGCTGTACTCGGTGAAGCAAGGGAAGTTTGGCAATCAGGATCAAGTGGTCATTGAATGGGCTGCCAAAGACCGCGAACTTGACGAGTATCCAATTGCTCTCTACTACGCGACCCAGGAGACCGGCCCCTGGGAACTGATCAAGGGGTGGACAGCCAATACGAAGCGACTGGACTGGACGATCCCTGATGTGATTGAGAAGAATTTCTATATCCGCCTGGATGTGCGAGATGCCGCAGGCAACATCACTCGGATCGACGGTGATCAAGCCTATACCATTGATCGCTCCCGCCCGAAGGCCAAGATCACGGACGTTGAATCGTTGAAGGTTCAACCGAAGTAAACGACATCCTGTCATGTCCGGTTCTTGTCGCATATGCTTGACGACTGACCTTCGTAAAGTTGCGTGCTTGTTCTGATGTGTGCCTGATCCTGGGTTCTTGGAAGCCCTGTCTGCACCATTAGCCGCTGGGCGTTAGCGCGCGGTTCTTGGCTTGGAATCGGACGTTCCCAGAGTGAGCACAGCGTTCCAGTTGATCGTTATGTATCGGAGTTCTTAGAAAGAGATGGATTTCTCCTCAATAAGTTGTTGGGCAATCGCAGATGGTGCTGCTGGTCACCGGAGTCAAGTGCGGGGGTTGGCTGAGGGACTGACACTTCGCTTCGAAGAATTTGACTGTCGGGTGAGGTACCCATGGAAAATTCTACCACCCTCCTGGATTCCCTTAAGAGAACAGTCATTCAAAGTCTCTCGGGCTATGTTTGCAGAGCCTCCTCAAGTCGCCATCTGCTGTGGAAAGCAAGCCGCCATGACAACGCTGTCGCTGAAGCGAAAGTTCGGTAACAGCTTGTTCACAATTTGCCTGCAAGATTCCAGGTTTCATCGCTCGACGTTCGATCTGATTATCGCTCCTGAGCATGATCAGCTGCTGGGTGAGAATGTCATTTCGACCCTGGGAGCGATGCATCCTTTAACAACGGACAGACTCAACCAGATTGCTCAAGACGGGCTAACAGCTGGTCTGCAAAAACTGGAAGCGAAATTTACAGCGGTTTTAGTGGGTGGTCCAAATAAGTATTACGCCTTTGATGAAGCAGATGTTCTGCAACTCATTAATAACCTGAAGAGAATCGCTTCCGCGGAACATCAGCTAGCAATCATTCCTTCCAGGAGGACACCAGAGCATGCTCAGCAAAGCTTGATACAGGAGTTCAACCAGGAGCATTTCGTCTGGAATGGAGAAGGCGAGAATCCTTACTTGCCGGCTTTGGCATTTTGCAGCAGTTGTGTTGTGACCAGTGACTCTGTTTCGATGCTCTCTGAAGCGACGACAACGGGACGTCCCGTTTATCTGGCGATGCTGAATGAAAAACGACCCGCCCGCAAGTTTCGCTACTTCCATCAACGAATGATTGACGAAGGCTATGTTCGAGAGTTTAGTGGTGAGATCGCAGACTGGTGCTATGAACCACCTCAAGAAACAAAACGTGTGTGTGAGATCGTTTGCGAACGACTTCAAGCTTTTCTGCAGAATGATTGACTCTGCTCACGGCGTGATAAGACTCAAAATAGCCACACTCTTACTTATTCAACCCGCCGAAACGTCGGTCTCGGGCGGCGAAATCCTTCAGGGCTGCAAACAACTCTGGAGTTCTAAAATCGGGCCAGAGGACTTGTGTGACCCAGAGTTCGGCATAGCTGATTTGCCACAGCAAGAAGTTCGAGATTCGCATTTCTCCGGCAGTGCGAATCACCAGGTCGGGATCACTCATTCCAGCTGTGTAGAGATGCTGAGCAATCACATCTTCATCAATCGAGTCAGGATCTAGCTGTCCATCTCGAACCTGTTCCGCAATCTGCTTAGTAGCCTGGACGATTTCGTCGCGTGCTCCGTAGTCGAGTGCTAAACAAAGTCGCATCCCGGGGTTGTCGGAACTCATCGTGATCGTCGTGTTGACCTCTGCCAGGATTTTAGAACTGATGCGGTCAGTTCGACCGATGGTGGTGAACCGAATGTCCTGACGCATGATTTCTTCACGCTCAGCGACGACATAGCTCTTGAGCAGGCTCATCAAGAGGTCAAGTTCCGGCCGCGGACGTTTCCAGTTTTCGCTACTGAAGCAGTACAGGGTCAGTTGCTCTACCCCCAGGCGAGCGCACTCTTCGACAACCGTGCGGACACTTTTCACACCCCGGCGGTGCCCTTCAATACGTGGCAGTCCACGATTCTGTGCCCAGCGACCATTGCCATCCATAATGATGGCAATATGCCGCGGCAACCGTTCAGGAACCAGATTGAGTTCCTGTAGCTGTTCTGGAGTGTAGGGACTCTCAACCGCCAAAGCAGACCTGATTTGTTAATGAACTGGGAAGCAAAAAGGCACTTTTGCTCAGTATAGATTGTGAGCGAATAGGAATGAACCGAAGGGGATCAATCATGCTGTGAATCTACATCTTGGGAGGAATGAACCATTGAATTTCAGGTTCTTGCATTGCATCCGCGCAACAATCCTCGATTAAGCAGTAGAAAAATCACTTGAAATTAACTCTGCATTGGGACCATTCATGAAACAGGATCAAGTTGATTTGACCGTAATTACAGCGACATGTGAGCGCCCGTCTGCTCTGGCGAACTGCCTTCGCTCATTTCAAAATCAATCACTCGGCGGACTCAGGTGTGAGCATATTATCGTTTCTGATGTGGTCGATCCTCATGCCCGCGCATTGGCTCATTCTGCGGGGGCGAGATACTTTGAACTTCCCGAACCGGTTGGGCAATGGGGAGCTGGTGCCAAGGATTTCGGAATCGCTCAGGCCAGTGGGGAATATGTCTGCTTCTGGGATGACGATAATGTTTATGAGGCTCATGCCCTGATCAGTAGTTTATCTTCTGCTCATCAGAGCGATATCGGTGTGGTCCGTGTGCACCATCGCCTCAGAAAACAGCCCGGAATGGTGACCATCCCCCGTCGCTGGGAGGGTCGATTCGTGCGTGGCGATATCGACACAATGTCCGTTTGTGTCAAAAGGTCTCTCGCAAGTCTGGAAAAATGGCAGTCTCAAAATCCACAAATTTCTAATGATTATGAATGGTTGATGAAATTGATGCAGCATCAACCTAAGATTCGCTTTCTACCAGTAATCATCGGTCAGCATGTGTGATTTCAAGAGAGCTCACGCCTACTGACTCAGTGCGCACTAAGTTGGTACAGGTTTTAAATGGCAAAATGGGTTGAGTTGACTTCATTGGACGAGTTTCCAGTTGGCAGTGTGCAAGAATTCACTGCTGAGGGGAGAATCATTGCGCTCTTTCATGTCGAAGACGAGGTTCGAGCCATCGACGGAATTTGCGCCCATGCTGGAGGTCCTTTGGGTGAAGGACAATTGCAAGGTTGCATCGTCACCTGTCCATGGCATGGCTGGCAATATGACGTCAAAACGGGTGAGATGTGCTTGAACTCAGCGATTCAGCAAGAGCAGTTTTCCGTCAAGATCGAGGGAAACACAATCATGGTGGAGTTGCCGTGAATCTCAAGGAAGGTGAATTGATCCCTGAAGCTGAAAACAGTTTCGCGGAACGGATCTTACTCTGGGTTTCTACCGGGCTTGGTGTCGGTCAGGTCAGCACCGCTCCAGGAACGGTCGGCAGTTTGTGGGGACCACCCTTGGCCTTGGGATTGCAACTCGTGAATCCACATTGGCTGTTCATGTTGCTCAGTGGAGTTCTACTCTTCGCTGCCGGAATACCTATCTGTGCAGCCGGAATCAGGCACTACCAGACTGGCGATCCCAAACATGTCGTCTTTGATGAGATAGCAGCCTTCGCTTTCGTCTATTTTTTTGTCCCTGTGACTTGGGGGACAGCCATTGTTGGGTTCCTGCTTTTTCGCCTGTTTGATATTAGTAAGCTGTGGCCCATTAAGAAATTTGAGGGACTACCTGGCCCCTGGGGAGTGATGGCAGATGACACCATTGCAGGGATCATGGCTTGCTGTGTGCTGACAGCGATGTGGGTGCTTATCGGACCGTTTTAGTTTCTTCCTGAGCATATTGAACTGGCATTGGAACTGGTTTACGCAAGGGTTCAGCCGCGTCCACTGGTGAAACTCTCATGTATCTGACTGTTGCATCTTCAATTTGCGTCGTCAGGAATTGTTCTCCACGGTCAACTTGTGCTTGTCCTCGAATCCGAAGCCAGCCAACACCTCCCAATGGGTCGACCATCAGGTAGTCGCCGTTTGCGATCCCCAGCGGGAGCTTTTGAATGTGCTGCTGAACCGTTTTCTCAGCGATCGAGAGCCCTTCAGTCTCTACGGAAATCGTCATTGTCATTCCGATACGTGTTGGCTGAACTGTATCGAGCAGTGGTTTGGAGAGTTCGACAGGTGGAGGAACCGGCAAAGAAACAATCTCTTCAGGTGCTGCAATGTCAGCCGACTCTAGAGGCTGCGACTCTTCCTTGCTGAGAATGGCAGTCGGTTTCGGCATTTCCTTCTGTGCCATTTGCTCTCGAGGTTGATCATTGGCCCATGCTCCTGCGAAGAACATGGTGAAGGTGATCAAACCAACGACTCGCATTACTGAGTGTGATGTTTCCGACATTGTCCCTATTCCAACTTTACTGCCGTGTCTCTGCGAAACGGTCCCGCCATACGGTCATAACTATCGGCAGTTGAATGTCGGAATTCTGGGCAATCCGGGCAAGAATTGCCGATTGCGTTGGGCGAGGTGGTGATTAAGGCAATTCAACTCGCCTTTGCGGCCAATGCGTATCACTCAAGACATAACGATTGGTCTGGATATACTAGCATTATCCAGTCGCGTCTCCCGGGCGGAAAGGGTACAAGTCTTTCAGATCAACAGACAAGCATGAAGCGTGTGTCACGGTTCAGCTGGAATTGGAAGGCTGTGTTGGATTGATTGCTACAGTTTCTCTAATCAAGAATGATACCAATTATGACAGATGCGAAACTTGTAAAATAAATCGATTGGAATGCTGTTTTATGGCACTTCGTCAGAAGAATTTGGTGAGATCGACACGTCGCACCTTGGACTCTTTGGGTGAATGCCAGACATACGAAGGGGTGAGTCTGAAGCATCCATTCGAGTCGATCTCGTAGCGATCGTGACAGCCGCATCTCTCTACGACACTCATTTCATATCCAACATTCCCGAAATTGCCGTCCTGAATTGTATCTGAGAGTGGTCTTCATTTGCTTGACTGAAGTCACGTCATTGACAAGCGATTCGTGAATTCAGCAACATTAAGCGATTCGGGGGTGACAACGTTATTGTTCCTCTACATCATAGATGTTCGTGTTATTGCATTTTGGGAAAAGGCG